CAGCTGAGTTTGTGCTGAGCTTTGCAGCCCCTCACTCCAGAGTCCCTGGAATAATCCTCTTGACCTGATAAAGAATTGTGACTCTTTAATCTCTAGAAATGACAGGGTGGCTGCTGGTTTTGTGGGGCCTCAAGCTTATGTAATCTTAGTGGCTCTTTTAAGGAGAAAAAAAAGCACAAAAATATCTTTGTTTTGCAAAATTTGCAAAACACATAACCATGAAAATAGAGTAAATTCCCTTCTGTCTCTTTGGTCTCTGGCCAAACAGGTGCTCACTTCCTTCTGGGAGAATGATGTTGGCCTCTCAATGGCCAATTCCAAGAGAGACCACCAGGTGGCAGTAGATTTACACAGCCCTCTTTCAACCCCCACCAGGCCCCTGCCCATCTCCAGAAATTTCTAAATCTTCCTCCAGATGGCCTAGCCAGCTAATCCAACAAATTAATCTGTGCTGTGATAATGGGCAAAAGAGTTCATGTGCTTCTCTCTAAATAGCATATTTTCCATTTAATGGAAATGCTAAGAGATTGTTTTTAAAACCAAATAAAGAGTCCTAATAGGTGAGTTCCAGGCACAGTGTTGGATACACATCACTATGGAAATGTTTTTCATCAGGGAGACCTTTCTGTGCTCAACAGATTGCATCTATGGAGGAGTTCTAGGTCTTATCACCTGTTCCTCCACCCCAATATATAGCTTATTAGGTACCAGTTTGGGAGTTCAACTGCCTGCGTAGTGAGTACTACCACTTACTGAGGGTCATGTTGAGTAAGGACCTTAACATCTCTGTGTCTCAGTTTCCTGATCTGTGAAATAGGAGTGATAATACTGATTTCACATAATAGTTGTGGGGATTAGGTAAAATAATGTATATAAAACACCCCCCAAAATTTGCATACAGAGGCCACTCCATAAGCCACTATCATCTTCATCATCCCATGCCTTGCCTGCCTCCTGCAAACAAAATTCTCCGTCCTTCCTCCAACCTCAACCCCCTACCAGCTGCCTCAAGAGAACAGAGGGCGGGTTGAGCCCCCAGCATGGTAATAATCAGGCCAGTTCTGGGCACAGCATTCTCCAGACCCATGATCTCCTCGAAAGTTGGGGCTCAGCCCTAGTGACACTGAAGCACACAAAGCGGGAGGGGCACTGGCTGGGCCAGAACTCCAGATAGCCCAGCCCAGCACTTTTGCAGGAGGTAACTCTCCAAGTATCACCTTGTGGATACCAAGAGCCCAACATCTGCCGATGAGCCTGGCATGTGAGGGCAGATGGATAAGGGGGTCGTCTGGCAGAGCCGGACTCCCTCCTAGATCCTAGGAGGACATTGTTCCACATGGAGGGACTCATCGTGGAGCAGAGGCTTCATCTGCTGTGCATCTTCATCTTCCTGTTGGATCTGGGAAGCTCTCTTTGCCTCCTCTCCCCACATCCCCTCTCTGGTTACAGTCACCTTCAGTCAACTACACTAAAAGGCAAAAGGGTGAATGTTATCAAACTTTGCTGCGTATTAGAACCACCTGAGGGGCTTTTGCAATCTGATTCCCAGATGTATGATCTAAATCCCAAACCAATGAAATCAGAATCTTTTGAGAATGAGACCCAAATTTCAGAAATAATTCCAATGTGAAGCACCTGGCTGGGTGAGTCAAAAGAGCATGCAACCCTTGATCTCGGGGTCATGGGTTCCAGCTCCATGTTGGGTATAGAGAGAGAGAAAGAAAGAGAGAGAAAAAATAATTCCAATCTACAGCAAGTTTGAGAACCAGTATTGTAGAGTGGTGTTTCTCCAGCCTCAATGTGCATTCAAGTCACCTGAAGAGTTTGTTAAAACGGACATTCTAATCCAGTAGGTCTAGGGTAGACCCTGAAATTCTGTGCTTCTGTCAGGCTCCAGATGATACAAATGCTGCTGGTACGTGGCACAAATTTTGAGTAGTAAGGTTGTAGAACAGTGCTTCTCAAACTTGACATGTATCAGAATCATCTGGAGGGCTTGTTAAAATATTCACAGTTTCAGATTCAGTAGATCTGGAGTAGGGCCCCCAGTATCACTGATGCTGTGGGCGCATGAGCCCACTTTGAGCAGCAGGGCTAGAGAGCACAGAACAGAGGTTTTGGAATCAGGCTGCCCGGGTCCGTTTCTGGCTTCACACCTTGCTAGCTCTGCAATATTGCCAGTTACTTAACCTTTCTGAATTGTCATTTCATCATCCATAAAGTGGCCATTATTGGGTAAGATTAATTGAGCTAATATGAAACACCTCCCAGACTTCCCAGTGTGCTGGTCCTCCAACTTGATTGCAAATTTAAATTACCTGAAGAGCTTTAAAATAAATCACTCCATGGTTGTTGATTTAATTGGACTGGGGTACTGAGCATCAGGATTTTTTTTTTTTTTTTTAAGAACTCAGGTAATTCTGTGCAGCCAGTACTAGGTAGTGGCCTGGCTCTGTGTCTCCCAAACACAAGAATCAGATTGCTGGGCAACACTCCCTGAGTCTCCGACTCGGTATGTCTAGGGTAGGGCTGAGAATTGGCATTCCTAACGAGTTCCTAGGTGTCAGTACTATGCTCTGGGGATTACACACCTATCAGCATAGGGCCAGGGTGCCTGGCGGGCTTAGTCAGTAGAGCATGTGATTCTGGATCTTTCGGTTGTAAATTCAAGCCCCACGATGGGCATAGAGATTACTTAAAAATAAAATCTTTTTTAAAAAAGTGCACAGAGTAGGGTTAGGTTAAAGAATAAGCTTGGTTTGTCCACCTGCAAACAGTAGGTATGGAGAGCATCACCTGTTCCCCCCAGGTCCGCCTGGGGGTGAGGGAGAACCTCTTTCTAAGGAGGGCAGGAGGGACCCGCATTGCTCCTCCAGACACTGCGCTCAAATGTGGCATGGGGTAAGAGCGGTGGCCTTGGCCTGGGTGACTGGGAGCCCAGAAACAAGATGTGTGGGTGGAAGCCACAAGGAAACCTTTGGGCTCAACACAAGGAAGAACTTTTTAACCTTGAGAACTGCTGTCTGGAAAGGTCACCAGCTTCCTCTTTTGGCGGTGAGTTCCCTGGCACGGGAGGTAGTCCGGCAGAGCTGCGGACTAGGGTAAAAGCTAGGGGTACTTGCCGGGGAAGATCTCTGCGGGCCTTTGAAGTCTGACATTGCACATCCCTGCAGCCTCCCCTTAGCCTCACTCCAGAAGCTTTCTGTTTATTTGGGGAAGTGACGGGCTGGAGCTTTCCGGACAGACCGGCTTTTCCCCTTGGTGTTTTCCTTCGCCTATCAGCTAGCGGTTTACTTTCCCAGGGCAAACAGGAAAGCGCCTGCGCTTAGCAGAGCCAGCAGGTCGGCGAGGTTGCTGTGCGGGTAGCAGGTGCCGCCTCCTGAGCGCACTGTGGCCAGGGCTGAGCCCTTGGGGCCTTACACACGCTGCGGGTTAACCGGTTGTGGGGGGGGGCGGGAAGAGGGGCGAGGCAGGTGGCCCTTGGGAGTGACAGGGGCTCCGGGGGCAAACCCTGCCCAGGGCAAGAAGAGAAGGGTCCAGCCCACACCGCCGGCCACATCAGAGCACCAAGAGAACACCAAGTCTTTATTACAGTAATTCCTATGAAACAGCCCCAAGAAAAAACCCACACATAGGAGAAAAAACGACTAACAAAGCAACACACACAGACTTGGGGCTGGGGCTTTCCCGCCATGCGCTGGGAGGGGTCCGGGCCACAGCCCAGAGGCCTCTCCTCTGCCCCCGGGGCCGGACCGTCAGGAGCTCTGGCTGGCGGCCCGGGGGCTCCTCGGGGTCGGGGGGCAGCACGGGGCCGAATCGCAGGGAGCAGCGGAGGGCGGGCGGCCCCGCGCCAACGCCCCAGGCTCCGCGGCGGCGCGTCCCGTCCCCCCCCCAGCCCCCGGGGGCCGCCCTCCGCCGCGCGCGCCGGGGAAGCGGGGCCTCGGCGTGGGCCCTGGCCTCCGCGGAACGAGGTGCCATGGCGCCCGCCACGCCCTCATTATCTCGGGGTGATGGCCGGGCTCCCGCTCCCAACCACCCCACCCCGCGCTTGGGCTGGGCTGGTTCCCCGCTGCCGGGGGGGGGGGCGGGGGCGGGGACCCCCTCGTGCCTGCCCAGGCTCCCCGGCTCTCCTCCGGAGAGGTCAGCGCGCTCCCGTCCTGGAGGCTGGCCAGAGAGACCGGGCCAGCCGCCTCCCGCTGGCAGTGCTTGGTGCCCGCTAAGGCTTGTGGAACCCGACAGCGCCTCCTCACGTCATTCCCCTTCTCGTTCTTGGCAGGAGGCACCCAGCAAGCCCGTCCGCCCCGGGCGCCCCCACCGCGGCTGGCAGCCTCATCTCCTCGCTCCTCAGTCCTGCACTTTCTCAAGGGTCACCTCAGAACCTGCTGCTGCCCACCCTTGGTGACAGCAGGACTTCTACTCAGAGCCCCCCCCCCGTGAGCCCCCACTGTTGAGTGACTGCAGGGTCCCATCCAGAACAGCCTTTTGTCTTCTGCCACAGTCAAGAACACTCCTGCCTAGCCATACTCCTCCAGCTCCGGGGTGGCCCCCTCCCCATCCCTGCTGGGGGCCGTGCCAACCCCTAACGGAGGCAGCTGGTGGGGCCGTGGCAGGGTGGTCCGCCAGGAGCTAACTCTCTACAGGGGCCCATCACTCCTCAGAGGGAGCCTGAGTGACTGCCCGGCGCTCTCCCACCCAGGGCTCTGTCCAGGGCTTGTACCAAGGGTCCGCAGCCCTGGGGGGGGGAAGGCTGAGATGCAGGAAGCCATGGGAATAAAGGGCCCAAGGTGCCCAGAAGGGAGCTGGGGATGGGGATAGGGGGTCAGGCAGTGTCTGTGACCCAGGAGAGATGGGGAAAGGAGAGGGGGCAGGGGCTCCACCTTCAGGGACTTCACCATCCTGCCCTTTTGGGTACTCCAACCTTCGCCTTTTTTCTGGGATTTTTTTAAGAAGGTGGCGGAGGTGGGGAGTGGGGGTGGGGGGTGGGGGTGGGGGAAGGTGGTGGGAGTTCCTGCACTTCCACTCATTGCCCACAGAACAGCCTGGCTACAAAAGGGGCTAGGACTGGCGGCTGCCCCGAGGGCCCCAGGTCCTTCCTCCAATCACAGCACAAAACTCCAAAGTTCTAAGTCCCCTGGAAAGTGGCAGTGACAGTGGCAGTGATGGGGCTGGACGTGGCTGAAGAATCACCAGGCCTCAGTCCTCGGCGCCATCTGTCCGGCGGCAGCTGGGCCCTTACACCGGGGGCCGGTTTGGCTCTCCGGCTGCCCCCACCAGGTCAGACCATCTCCGGCAAGGAGGAAGCACTGGCATCTGGTGGGGAAAAGAGATGGAAGAAGCCTTTTTCAATGGAGCCCAGTGGTCTTTCCTTGTCAGCAGTCCCTGTAGAGATGGTTTTAGGCAGAAGGTCCCAAAGACAGGCGCCCTCTCCTTCTTCCAGGGACTCTATGCCAGCCTTGGAACTCTGCCCGAGGTCATGTCCCGCCCCCCACATCCAAGCTCCAGGAACAGCAGGAGCAGGGCCTCTGGCAGCCAGAGCTGGAGTTGGGGGCTGGAAGTCCAGGCGGAAGCAAGCGTATAGGGAGGGCTCAGAGGTAGGGAAGTGGCCAGCCCGTTCTGGGATGCAGCAGCGGCTCAGAGGGGCTGCACCAAGGGGACCCGTAGGGGCAGAAAACAAATTAGGGTCACAGTTTGGTAGGCCCCACACACCAGGCCGAGGAGTTAATAAGCCTCTACTAGGAGGGCTCACTCCAAGAGCAAGGGAGAAAGGGCAGAAGAGTGGTGTCCTGGGGACGGGTGAGCAGAGTCAGGGCCGTGAACCACACTAGCAGCTGCGAACCAGGCGATGCGAGTCTACCAGCGCAGGGTGGAAGGGAGAGGAGAAATGAAATGGGCAAGTCTGGAGAAGATGCTGTCTGGCTTCCAATGACTTCAGACCCAGGGCTAGGAAGACGGTCATGGGCACAGCTGGGATGCAGAGTGGATGTGGAGGACCGGCTGAGAGGGAGGGGCCCATTGCACGGGGGTCTTGCTGTTGCTAGGAAAGAGGGTGGTGAACTGCCAGAGAGCGGGAGCGAGAGAGTCAAGGCCAGAGCTCCCGGAAGAGCTGGGACTGTGGCACTGGGAGGAGCCCCGGGAGAAGCGCGGAAGAGAAACAGCAGATAGGAAGAAGGCCCAGGATTCCCGGGCCACAGGGGTGGGCAGGGAGCAGTTTCAAGAAAGACGGTGGGCATGGCATGCACAAGGGAGCACCAGAGGATGCAGAACGGAAGGACCTGGCTCTGGGGTGACCTTCCTGCATCAGTCTGGGGGTGGTGGGAGGGCTGCCGACCCGCAATGGGTGAAAGAAGATGCCATTTTTTTGCAAGTTGGGCAACGAAGGAAAATAGTGAAACCTCTTGGTTTTGAAGATGGGGAGGAGGAGGAGGGTGTAAACTTGAGGAAGGAGCTGGAAAGGGAAAAGCTGGACAACTCGGGAGAGAGGAATGATGGCAAGGTCCTGATGTGTGGGCGGCTTTGGAGCAGACACGTTTTCCTGGGGGAGAGGGGCAGTGGAAAGGGGAGGGAATGGCAGCAACCGAGTGGGAGTGGGGTCTTTCACCCCAGGCGGCTGTATCGGGGCATCCTGGGCCAGCGGGGATCGTGGGTGCAGCTCCGCGCCTGAGAACGGCCCCAGCTTCGGCGTTCTGGGGGATGTGGGAGGTAGTCAGCTAGGAGGCGTGAAGGCCAGCCGCCCGGGCTGGTTGATCCACCTCCACAACAACTATCCCGAGGGCAGCAGCTAGCCATTTCTTCATAGTGTGAGACAGGGCCACACCTGCCACACCGTCTGCTCGGCAGGGGAAAGCCCTGTAGATGCTGGCCACTGGGACCAGGACAGCGGCTTGGGGAAGGGTGGGCGGGTCGCCTCCTGATGGGGAGGGGGGCCGGAACAGGGAAGAGGTTCTACTGAGCCCCGGAGGGGCTGCTGACATTCCCTGCTTCGCCCCCAGGGATGCACAGAAGAGAAGGAGAAGCAGCCTGAGGGCCCACGGCTCCAGCCAGCAACAGAGCTGCCTGAAGGGAGACTGTTTCTTCATGTGGTTGTGGCAGATCCTACACCACCCAACCCAAGCAGGCAATGGGACAGTTCTGTGTGTGCACAGCTGTGGGGAGGCCACTTCAAGTTTTCCTAAGTCGTCCCCTTACTGTGCAGTATGTGTCCTGAACTGTCTTCCAAATGGGCTGTCAACTCTCAAGGTCAAAGCTGACTTTTTCCACCTTGTTCCCAGGATCTGGCACAGGCAAATGTGATTACTTTGCTAAATGAATAACCAAAAAAAAAAAAAAAGGAAACGCAAAAGGCTGGTTTTCATGCAGAAGACCATGTCCCCTGCCACAATGACAAGGGAAGAAAACCCGGATCTGTGCCATCCAGTTGCCTGAGCCCACTGCCTCTGGATCCCTGGGAAAACCCCCGGGGTATTGGGCATGGCAGGCCCAGCCTCAGGCAGTGTCTGGGCAGCTGCGGCTCCAGGCCATACCTCTTACTGTCCTTCCCTTAGGGCTTCCTCCACCTTGGGTGCCTTGGGTGCCTCGTGTCGCCGTCCCCGGAAGTCTTCATCTGAAAAGCAGAGGGAAGTTGCCTCATGTTCCACCGTGCAGGGCCTCATGAGGCATGCCCCTGGGCTGGGCAAGAGCTGACCCAACACTCTCCATCCCCTTTGTTTGCTGGGGCACATGCTGAACCTGGGGTGGGGTGGGGTGGGGACACGTGGGTGTGCTGAGAGGCACCAGGGCACAGTGTGGGGTTAGGACACCTGGCTGCTGGCCTGGCTCCATCACTGAGCTCGGACAAGGTCTTCCCTCAGCTTCCTCATCCTCATCTGTAGAATGGGTGGGGAAGTGGTACCCTCCATATGGCCTCTAAAGACCCTCCTAGCCCTTGTTTCTGGATGTCTCCTGACCACCAAAGGGCCCTTCTGCTCTGAGGCATGAGGATCACCTTCAGCTGTGGGCCTGCTAGGGTCTAAGGCAGTGTCTTCTGGCCCACACGGCCTTTGGGAGGAACTGGATGAACGCTGAAAGGCCTCTGGGCCCAGGGACTGAAACTGTGCAGCACTTGGTTGTCCAGGTGAGGCCCCTCCACGTGCGTAGGCCTGACTGCCCCCTCCCACCCCAGAGAAGAGACCCAGAAACAGCACCTGACACTTTGTACTCCAGGAAGAGATCTAGGTGGAGGTACAGCTGGGGCCCCCTTTTGGGAGTGGAAGGAAGGGAGAGGCAATATGAACCAAGTGGGAGGACCCATTTCTCTGGGTCACCTGCCCACCTACCCACGATGTGTCCCCCAGGTTGGGCCCACCCACGAAATACCCGGGCCCTCCTCTTGGGAGGGTCACCGATGACAAGCAACTTAGAGCTCAAGCTCCCCTGCCCTCCTGGCCTCACCACAAGTGTGGCCCTCTACGTCGTCCAGGAGATTAGCTGTTGACACCGCAGCTCCCAGCCTGCCGGGCCATTCAGGAAAACTGTCTCAGGGATGGGTGGGCATTGCCATCACCCTCCCACCTCCCCCAGTCCCTGTTCCTGGCCTCTAGCACCCACTCCCAGCTCAGGAGGCTTCTAGCATTATCCCCCCAACCGTGCCCAAAGCCTCCTTTCCTCGGGATCAGGTGAGCAGCCAGGTCCTGACTTTATCACCCAGTTCCCATCTCTGGGCATGGAGAAGGGAGTTCCTCCCTGTTCCCCTCTGGCTGTTCGGCTTCTAATATCCTAGGCCCGTGTAACAAGAATGGGTGGGAGTCTGGGTTAAAAGGTGGAGAACCTTATTTTTACTCAAGAAATGAAAGCAAGAAGGCAGGGCCCAACGTGCTTGAAATGGGGAGGCAGCAAGATCTATGGATCAATTCAACTCGAGAAACTAGGGAAAGGTTTGCCGATTTTAGGGGAAGAACCACGTCTTCTCCCAAGAGTAGATGAGCCCAGCCAGAAAGTGAAGATGTCGTGGGACAACTTGGGAGCCCACAGAAGGGAGTGGGAGATGCTGGCCTGTTCCCCAGCCCGGTCATGGGGCTCCAGGCCAGGCGGTGGGCTGGCCTCGGGGCGCACGGAGGAGGCAGGTGGCCGCAGAGCCTGTCCCAGCCCCAGCCCCTGGGGAGGGCGCAGCCTCGAGAGTCCAGCCAGGGGGTCAGCGCCCTCAGCACCCACGCCCCTGCCCTGCGCCAGGCCGGAAAGGATACGACTGGTGCTTGGACAAGTGTTTCCTCTTTGACTTCCTCATCCTGGTCTTCTCGGAGAAGGCCCTGGCCAGCTCGAACAGCTTCCTCCGGGTGGCTGGGGCGGAGAGACGCGTGAGCCACAGCTGCAGGGCCGCCCGGGGTGGGGGCAGGCGGCAGTGGGGCGACAGGAATGCGGCGGGGAGGGGAGCACGCCCCCCCCCAGCAGGGGGGCTGCCATCTGGGGCTGGCCTGCAGGGGCAGCATAGGCCACCGAGAGCAGGGCCGGCCTGGGCAGGCAGCCCGAGATCCGGGTATTCCTGCCCCAGCAGCGACAGACAGCAACGCGTCTTGGCTGTCTTTCCCGCTGCCTCCCCCGCCCCCTTCACCACCTCCAGAGTTGGTTCTGGGATTTCCATGACTAATCCGAGATTTTCCCTGAAATGGAGCCTGGAAGGATGGCAGCCTCATTCACACATGGTTGTGTGGTAGGGCGGGGAGGAGGAAGGGTAGGTGCGTCCCGGCTGGCAGGACTTTGTGGCAAGAGGTCACAAACCCTCGGGCCTCCTGCCCACAGAAAGTGGGCTTAGCACAGGCCTCCCCACTCATCAGGCCTGGCCAAGTCCCCTCAAGCCACAAAGGACGTGAACTCTAAAACGGGGGTGGGGGTGGGGTGCAGCATATTATTATTTTTCTGCAGACAGCTGGCTCAAGAGGATTTAAAACTGAGTTTGTATCCAGACTCGGCTGCAGAGGGAAGGGAGGCAGGAAGGCGGAGGGAGCCAGCCTGCGATTAAAATGTCACTTTGGTTCACCCAGAGTCCACTAGGTATTCAAAACTCCTGGTGGCTCCCTCCCTCCCATGAGGCCACAGGGCCTGTCTTAGAACAGATGGAGAGGGGGCAGAGGCTGGACTCACATTTTCCCATGTGTTTCAACTTGTCCCTGAATAAGGCATCTTCAGACACAGCAGGATTGGTGTCACCAGCTCCTGAAAGGGGAAGACACCCCTGAGGGCCGGCTGGAGAGGGAGAGCGGCTGCCCAAGGCCCCCCCCCCGGGGTGCGGGGAGTGGGTCAGGGCTGGCCCCACCAGGACAGGGTTTTGGCCCAACCCTTCCAGCTGAGGAACGGGGCAAAAGATCAGGCTTCTTCCCTAAAGGCACGAAGGATTTGAGGAGTACTTCTTTCTCCACCAAGCCTTGCTTGGCTTCTTTGTGTAAAAAGCAGGACAGTGGTATGTTCCGCCGTATGCATGGAGGGCCGGCTCACACCGGCTTCCAACTCTCCGCTTCTCTGACCAACTCCGAGTTCCATGAAGTCATGCTGATAGCTTGGAATCAGTCGTGGTGGGAGTATTTACATCATGAAGTCACCCGACGCTAAGCACTGGGGCTTCCCCTGCACCCTGAACTTGGTTGGTATATATTCGCCAGCACGCGGTGGCTGGCCTGTACCCTGACCCGGTGTGAGAGTTAATATGGGAATGGAAGGGAGGTGCGGGCACAGAGCAGGCCTTTGCCATTGACAGTTCCCTTCTCCTTCCTGCCTGGCTCAGCCCCTCTGATACTCCCTCCAGACGTGAAGTTTCTGACTCATTTGACAGAGGAATGAGAATAAACCCAAATGGCCCACCTAGAGTCTCCCCGCTCACTCAGCACCCACTTACATCTCTAGCTGCCCTTCTAAAGGCCCTGCTCCCCACCCTGCAACTCGGCTAATCCTAAGTCACCTTGCCTGCTAAGTCCCCTGTGAGTCATTATGATCCATCTCAGCAGCCCTGGCGTGTCTAGTTCACTCAGGATCAAGGACGAGAGACTGTCGTTAAAACTCCCAGATGCACATCTGTTGGGGCCTAAGCTCCGAGCCTGCTGCTTATGAATCAGTTCCACGGGATTTTCTCTCTTTGAGCTGGGATCAGCTGAGCTCCCCATCCTTCTGCTCCTCCACCCCACTCCACTGCGTGATGTAAGGTCTGCTTCGGGCAAAAGCTGCCCCTGCTACTACCTTCTCTGCAGTGGGCAGCCTAGTATGGATGGAGGCACTGGCTGGCTAGGGGCCACGAGGCACACACAGGGACACGTGAGCAGGTATCAAGTATGGAACCCAGGCCTTCTGGCCCTCTCTGCCCATGTTCCCAGCTCCAGCTCAACCCTTGTTCGTGCATCCCAATAGGCTGCTGTCCATTCCTGGCCCTCCTTCAGTGGGTTAGGGCTCCTGGAGGGGCCTGGCCTTCTATTGAGGCAATTCTTGCTTCTCACCATCTTGGACGTGAAGCTCAAAATTCTCTTCCTCCAGCACTTGGGTGGGGCCTGGCCAGGGCAGATACAGCCTCAGCTCATGAATGAACAAAGCCTGCCCTTCTCACCGTGAGCAGCTGCGATCATCAGTAAGTATGTCCTCAGCTTTGCTGGTTTGTTCTAGCCATCTCTTGAATGTTTCTCCTGCATTCCCCAGAAGACCATAAGCTCCCCCAGGGCACAGATCAAGCCTTGGAAGTCTCTGAGTCCTTCCTGAGCCCACCCACCATGGGACATGTGTGCTGTGGCATGTCCCCTTCTTGCCCATGCTCCAGGCACTTTCTGAGCAGTTCAGCCAGCCTTTAGCCAATCCAAGGGGGCTCCAGCAGCCGCTGGATTGGCAAGAGTCCAGGTCTGCCAAGTGGAGGGGCCACGTCACTCGCAGGAGTGCGGTGGTGGGCTGGGTGGTGGGCTCAGACCCCGCCCCTCCAGCCTGTTTCCCCACCCTACCCCCAAACTCCAAATATGCAAAGCGTAAGGGGGGGGCATCACGGCGTGAGCCTCTCTACCCTCCAGGCCTCCCTCCCAGGAAGGCAAGGTCACCTGGGGCAGGAGAAGGAAAGCCAAAGTCGTTTCCCACAGCCACACTGCTGCTGGATTTGGATTTCTGGGACTCGTATTTCAAACGATCTGGAAAAGGATCACATTCCTGTCAGGACAGCGAGCTCTCTCCCAGTGGCACCCTGGGCCGAGATGCAGGAGGCTGTTGGGGGCCAAGCCCCCCGATCTCACATGACGCACACAAAGTATGTGCACACGTGTCTTCCACCTCTCCAAGAACCAGCTGTACCATAGAAACTATGGCCTGACAGGCACCTGGAACGGGAGAACATCACACTTAGAAGGACACTGAGAGATCACACAGTCCAATCCTTCATTTAAAAGGAAAGGCCCTGGGGCGCCCGGGTGGCTCAGTCGGTTCAGCATCAGACTCTTTCCACTAGGGTCATGATCTCGGGGTTGTGGGATTGAGCCCCACGTACGGGCTCCATGCTTGGCAGGGAGTCTGCTTGGTATTCTCTCCCTCTCGCTTTGTTCCCTCCCTTGCACTCTCTCTCTCTCAAATAAATAATCTTTAAAAAATAAAATAAAATAGAGGCACCTGGGTGGCTCAGTCGGTTAAGCATCTGCCTTCAGCTCAGGTCATGATCTCAGGGTCCTGGGATAGAGCCCTGTGTGGGCCTCCCTGCTCGGCGGGGAGTCTGCTTCTCCCTCTGCCACCCCCCCCCCCGCTCCTGCTCATTCTCTCTCTCTCTCAAATAAATAAATAAAATAAAAGGAAAGGCCAGGCCCTGAGACCCCCAGCACCTGTGCTGCAGAGCTGGGGCCAGCCTTCTCCCTGCACACCTTATTCTTCCCCAACTATACACCGTCAGTCACATACACACACATACACACTCCCACCGGGACCCTCACTGTATCCCCCCGCCCAACACACTCCCACCCTGAAGGGGGAAGGCAGCCAGGCTGGGGAGGAAGGTCCCCAGCCAAAGACAACCGAAACTGCCACAACACCTGAGATCCCCTGTCCTGACATCCTCTGCTCGGGGAGGCACCCACGGACCCAGCTCCAGACACGTCGGGCCAAGGCCAATGCCTGGCACACAGCAGATGTGCAGGAGCGAAGGAGAAGGCCCACGAAGGCACACCTGTCTTCCTCTGAGTCCCAGGGGGTCGCGGGGGGGAGAAGGGCTGGCTGGTGACTCGTGTCCCTGCTGGCAGAATTCTGGGGTTCCCACAGGGTAACTTGGTGGGGGCCGTGTATCAACAGGACCGAGGCCACATTGGCCTCCAGCTCAGTGCCTCCTCTGAGCCCCAAGGCTGAAGCCGACTCCAGCTCCCTTCCCCAGCCACAAAGGAGTGGCCAAAGCGCCCCCACCCAGGGCACCACCTCTCTCCAGGGCCAGGAGGAAGTCCCGGTTGCGCTGCAGCTCCTTCATGAACTCCTCGTTCTGCAGGAAGAGCGCAATCCTCTCGTCCTCCAGGTACTGCTTCCAGCGGTTCTCCTGGTCCCGGGTGCCAGGCCCAGCCACAGGGGGCAGGCCTCCCTCTCCGCTCCTGGGCTTGGAGCCCCCGGGGTTACCCTGAGGAGGGGAGCAAGAGAGTTGAATGGCTGCTCACCAGGGCACATGCTGCACAAACATCCGTGCATATCTGGGTGCACACATGTCCTTTCCCAGGATCCTCCAGCCGTGCCCTGGGGCCTGGGCCTGCACCTGCTATCGGGTTCTAGTGGTCAGCCAAAATCTAACTTAGCAGGCCAGAGCCGTCTCTGCTGGGGAAGCAGTAAGGGCTTAAAAACAATGTTTCCTCCCCCTTGGACCACCCCAGCCCTCATCTACAACCTGAACAGTCCTGGAAAGTGATCTGTAAGCCGCTCAATAGCTTGGCTAGCGCCACATGGAGGCCCAAACTCAAAACTCTCCCTGTCCTAGCTGTCTCAGGGTGAGGCCCCCTTCCTGCAAGGGCCCCTCAGGCCCTGCCTACATCAGGGGGAGAAGCTGCCCCTGGCCCTATCCCATGGGAGGGTGGGGAGGCGGCCGGCCCCTCTGCCATTGGCTTCCCCCGTGCCCACCTCCCTCCAGCCTGGGGCAATGGCTGTAGCCACAGACTCCTCCGGGCTGTCCCCTTCCCTGGGTGGAACAGGAAACCTCCAGGCCCAGACAGGAAACGAGGCTTTCGGTTCAGCATTCTTTCCCTGCGAACCCAGGGCAACAGAAATAGCCCGGCGCAGGCTTAAACATCAGGAAGTGAAATGGGCTGGCACAAACTGGGGCCAAGCAGAGATCCCGCACAGGCAGCCGGGGGCTTCCCCCATTACCTGTATGCTGTCCAGCTGCTGGGGCAGGATGCGGAGAAAGTCCTCGGGGAGGTTGCCCAGCAGGGGTGGGTTCCAGTTACGATAGCGCCTCTGGCTCGACACGGGTCCAGAGCCCAGCACATCGATGCTGGAGGGTGAAAGGTAACAACGAAGAGGGAACAGTCAGGCCCAAACACAGGAGTCGCGGCCCATCCCACCAGGATCCTGCTCAGAATGGCATTTCTGCTCTGAAGCTTCCCACAGCCTCCTCGGCCTCCAGGACAAAGGCTTAGCACTCTCTCTCATCTTCCAATCAGGCCTCTGCTAACCTCAGCCTCTGGCCGCAAGGCCTGGCTCCTCCAGCTCCAGGACAGTCACTGCTCTCCGGCTACTCCAGGCCCTCAAGGTCTCTAGGCCTAGAGCCCTCAGTGTTCATGGCGCTCGAGCTGGCTGTCATGGGTTTACATGCAAATGTTTACAAATGTCCTCTAAAGACAGCAGGCGTGTCCCTAGCACCCAGCACAGTGCGAGCTCATGGCTGCTGAGGAACAGGTGCGCTCCCCATGACCAGACCCAGCAGACGCCAAGCCCGGCCTGCCCGAATGTTGGTTTGCTGGGGTGGGGGGACATGGGGATGACGGGACCCCTACAGAGTAGAGCACATCCAGGCTCTAGTTCCGGCTCAGTCACAGCCAGCAGGGTGGTCCTGGGCAAGACCCTGCTCCCCTCTGGGACAGAGCTTCCTCATGGAAAAACCGTCTCCCTGCCGAGGTGGGCAGGAGCCCCTCGTGAGGCTGTGTCTCAGGCACTGAAGGTGGGGATGGAAAGGTTCCTGTTGCAAGGGGTGCTCAGGAGCAGCTCTTCATAAGCAAGGTGCCTGGCCGGAGGTCCATGGGCCACAGGCAGAGGCCATGGGGGGGGCGGGGGTTGGGGAACAGAGACAGGAAGAGAAGTGGTGGCAGGAGCCCTCCCTGACCCCAAGGCCCCCGCCCTGCCATCCGGGGCCTGAGGGCAGCCCGGGGCCAGGCCAGGAGCTCCCCACAGCGCCTCGGCAGCCTGCAGCGTGGCAACCGCAGGACACGTGTTCTGCTGAATCAGGGAAATGACACACGCAGAAGGCAGCGGGGCCGGGGGCGGCGGGCCGGCCGCTCTCGCCTGGCTTTGATTTGTCTCCAGCTCCAGGAATCCCGCCCGCCCCCTCACTGGAGGGGAGCTTTTCCGGGCTGCCGCTGACTGTGGAAATAACTTCCTTTCCTTTTCTATTTTGGGCGGGTGGCCTGGCAGGGCGAGGGGGGGCGGGGGCGGCGGCAGACGGGGATAACAAGCTGCTAAGTGCGCGGTGGGAGCCAGGGGAACCCGCCTGCCTCATCCACCCTCCCGGGGCACAGGTGAGGGAAGGCTCCAGAAGAGCCTGCATCGTAAACGCAACTGGGACTCTGTGAGTCCTAGGCAGATCTCTCTCCACATCATTCAACCGCCTTCTGTCACTGTCGGAGGCTTCACTTCTCCCAAGGGCCCAAGGTGGGGGAGAGGGTGCCCCCTCTCTTAGGGACTCGGGGACCACCCGTGGTTGGCCCCAGCACAGAGAATTCCTCTCCGGGGTCTTCCCCTAGGACCCGGGTACCCACTCCAACTCAACCACACCTGGAGCCACCCGGGAAAGTGCAGAGGGAGAACCCCAGAGTTGCACTGGGACCCCTCTAGCCATCTGTTACTGAGCCCAAGAGGGGAGGGGGACAAGGAGCGGGGGACCCCTCCTCACCGTTTCCCTAGCGGCTGGGACTGTGGTCCCAAGGAAGGTCAGGCTCAGCCCTTCCCGGGCCCCGGCACTGGCAAAGGCAGAGATGAGGTCAGCCACAGCTGCAAGAGCCGGGGGGGGGGGGGGGGCCTGAGCCCAGGCGGCCCAGGCAACTCCATTGTGGTCGGAAAGGAATGTCAGAAATGAGCTGAGAGGCAAATAAAAAACTTCCAAGGCTGTAATTTCAACGGGAAAACGGCAGGTGGCCTGTGCTGAGGGGTAGCTCTGGGTCTCAGAGACCTCCTTCATTCCGGAAAGAGAGGGAAGGGCAGGCTGGGAGGCTCTCCTGGCCCACAGCCTGGGCACCAGGACCCCAAAACTATAACTTCACGCCCCATCAGACCCCCAGGTTTACCCATGGCACATCAGACCCCAGAAGGATTCAGACATGAACCTTCCAGGCAGGATTTTTGGTAAAGACTGGACACTGAGGCCCAGAGAGAGTCAGGCCCTGTCCAGGGACACACAGATCGTGCAGGCAAAACCTGGGCCCAGGGGTCCTGACTTTTCAGGCACTCACGCCTGGGGTCACCCCAGCTCTCTATTGTCTTAGCAGGGCAAGCTCCCAAGCCCCACGCCATCTGCAGTCCCTCAGGCGACGGGAGGTGGCAGAGGGGCCTGGCCCCCAGTAGCCAGAGATTCTAAAACACTAACCGGATCCTGTCACTCTCCAGCTTAAGCCTGCTGACTGCAGGATAAAGCCAAAGCTCCTCAGAGGACCCACAAGGCCCCCATGATCAGCTCGCCTCTCCAGCCTCACGGCCATTCCATTTCCTGGAGTTCCCCAAAGCTCCCGGATGGTTCCCCCTCTTCTGCCTCCTGGCCTTTGCACATGCTATTTCCATTGCCTGAAATGCCCTCCTGTCCTCTGCTTCACCAGGACACAGTGTGGACATGAGTTCCTCTAGGCAGACTTTCTTGCCCCCAGTTCTATGCCTCCGCCCAGCCTCTGATGTCCTCAGGGGGGCAGGGTAGTACTATACTCATCTCAGCATCACACACATCGTTCAGCACCTGCATACTGCAGGAGACTCAGTAAATGCTGGAAATGAATGTTCTGGATAGAGAGACTGAATGAGGCCCTGGAAATGGCCTATGAGTGGACCTGGCCTAGCAGGGCCATCCTGGGGCAAAGGGGCACATGCTCAGAGCCTGGCCCTGCTTCTTCTGAACACTGGCCTCTGAGGGAAGCCTCACCACTGGTCTCAATATTCCATGTTAGAGCTCAGAGGCCAGCTGCGCAGCCTGGGGTGGGAAGGAGCAGTCAACCACAGGTGACAGGTCTGATCCCTGCCTGGGACTGTGCTAAGTGCTCCACGCATAGTATCTCGTTGGATCCTCACAGCACAGCACTGCTGAGCTGGGGATTAGTATTCCCATGCCACAGATGAGGGGAGAGAAGCTCAGAGAAGTTAGGTAGTGAGCCAGAGGTCACACAGCCAAGCACCTAAAGCATTAGAAGCTAGGCAGCTGAAAGAAGGGGGTAGGAGAGCACTTTTCTTTTTTCTGACTCTACAACTCAAGTTCTCTGTCCTGTATCCTCCCCAGGTCCAGCAAAGCTTTCATTGCCAGGTCAGGGTCCCGAATCTCAGGCCTCTTAAGCCTTGATCTAGGGCTGAGGTCACCCTGCCCCCAACGGTGGCTTCCATCCCCGAGCTGCACTGCGCCTGACCTCACAGCAGCTGTACACCCAGCCAGAGGGGCAGAGGGAAGACGGGGCCTGGGTACCCATGCCAGGTTCACCCTGGGATTCTGTCTCTTATGGCCTCAGGTTTCCCTTCTGAAAAACAGGCAGAACCACTTTGCCTAGTAGAAACTGGAGGTTTTGCAAAAGCATCTTGGAATATTAAAAAAAAGTAATAATAAGTCAAAGGTAAACCACTTAGCCCTGGGCTCCATGACCCATGCCAGGCCGCAAGTCCTGCCAAGGCCTCACCCAGACCAACCCATGCCCTCCCTGCCTCCCACCCCACTGGAGCCTCCTGGTACCACCTGCAATAAAGGAAGGACCCCAGGTCTGCTACTGTCCCCGACTTAAAACATTGTTCTCTCTGTCCTGTGACCTTCTAGGCCTCCATCAGCTCCCTGAGCTGCAATCGCAGAGAATTTTCTCATTAGGGAGGTGACAGACACAGCAGCGAAGACACTGGTTTTGGAATCAGAATGGCCTGAGTTCACAGCTCAGCTCTGTGGTGTTGGGAAAGTTATGAAACCTGGCTTAGGCTTACTTTCCTCATCTGTGAAATGGGGACGCTGACAGTGCTCTCATAAGCCGTTCCAGGATTAGAACATGACAGTGTATACATAAAGAGCCTCACTGGTTCCCAGCACTTGGTAGCTGGTGGCTGGGGTCATTACCCCTACCTGCATAGCAGAGGTCTCCACTACCACGACCTCAGGTGCCCAAGATCCCCAGAAGGAAAGTTCCACTGGGACTAGTCCCCTGTCCCATCATTTCCCCCCAACTCCTCAGCACCCCAGCGCTGAGCCATTCGAAGGAACTGCAGCTCTAGGACAAAGAGACGCCCAGGCTCCAGCAGTCCCACTACAAACATGAAGCACAGAAAAGCCCCTCAGAGACCGTGGGACCTGGCTGGCAACTGGCTTCGTGTTAACCCTCCAGATTACAGAGCCCCTCACCTGGAAGAACTCTCCCAGGACCCTGCAGTCTATTCCTCTGCCTCCAACTTATCAAACTATCCCGGAAAAAAGACTTACTTGCTCCCATTGCCTAAAAATCCCCACAACAACCCTAGACCAGGGATGGCAAATAGGTATCCATCCCGTCAATTACTGCTGACTGTCTGGGAGGTGCTGTGTGGACGGGGACTCTGAAGTTCTGTCTCCACTGAGCAGGAAAGAGCCCAGTGGTCAATTAGCAATGTGTTCCATGGGCTCAGTGGGGGAAGTGTCTACACACTCCCTGTGTTCACTTCTCCCACTTGCATGGGCCTTGACTGTGAGATCCCAGAAGGCAGCGCCACGCCTTATGTAACTCCGTGTCCCATATCATGTTCCGCGAAGCACCTAGCAATTCAGCGAATGTTTGCCCTGGCGATCCTTCCCATGTGGAAGTTCTCCTTGGTATCTAGCTACAATGTCTCTTGCTGCAGTAGAAGCCTGTTCTTGGTGGAATAATATCCTGAGGGGTCCAGCCAAGTTTTCCACGGCGTTTGTACTCAACCCCAGGCCCTGATCCCTTTCCCCCACCGACCTGCGCTCCGAGAGGAGCCGGGTTCTCACCGGGGAGGTGGTGTGGGGGGAGCCAGAGGGTAAGGCCTGTCGAACATGTGCATGTGATAGGCTGGCGGGGAATAGACAGGTGGGGGTTCTTCATCAGAGCTGTCAGGCTCCAAAGTCCTTTCCAAGATCTAGATCAGAAACAACAACAAAAAAAGACATGTTAACAATCCTTCTCTGAATTTAAATAACATTCAGACAAAAGCCAGGGCGGGCAAGGGTGCGTCGTAAGGGAACTCTGTGTTGCCATGGGAGTGTAAATGGATAGGGCCACCACTTTGCCAAATTGTTTGGTTTTCTGTAAAGCTGAACGCATGGCTGCCTCTGACCCTACAATTCCAACATACTCAATGGGCATGAAAGCACACGTCCCCAAAAGAATGTTCAGAGCAGCAATATCCATCTGAGCAAGGTTTAAAAACAGGCCAAACAAATCACAGGGCTAGAAGTGAGAGCAGGAGGACCTCTGTGGGGGTGCAGCAGGCCAGGACGGGACACCAGGGGGATTCCAGGCTCTGTGGATGTTTCCTGACCCCGGACGCTGGGGCAACTTCATTGAGCCGCACACGTATGGTTCGCGTACTTTTCGGGACATGGGTTACTTCTGATAAATAACTTCAACATCATTCGTACTCTCTCTCAAAGTACCTCCACGTCAATTATCTCACCTGAAGTCAAACAACTTGGCAAGGTAGGATAGAGTTCGTTACTCCCATTTTATAGATAAGGAAACTGAGGCCCAGGCTAAGTGACATGGCAAAGCCATATGCTCTCTTTCGAAGTCAGTCTTCAAACTGGACATGGTCTCCACAGCAAGGATCCGTCCTTCAAGCACAATCCCCACATGCCCTGGTTGGATTCTTAGGGCGGACAGTGACAAGAGGAGTACCCAGGATGCCTCTCCCTCCTGGATGATTCTCTTCATCCAGAAACCAGAAAGAGGGGCAGAGAAAAGCCAAGGGCTGGGCAAGGCCCAGAGTTCCTGCTCCGTGGACTGACCTGGATCCTTCCCCAGGGAACCACAGAGGAGTCTGGGGCAGGAGGCAGGAGGTGACCATCAACCAGGAGATCCCAGGTCGGACACACCCCAGCTGGCCTACACCTTAGCTTCCTGCTCCCTGTTCTCTGCTCCCCAATTCTGTTCCATCTCTTCCAAGACCAAAGAACACGGGAAGGGCTCAGAGGCTGTCAGTGGGCCCCAGAGTCCCCAGGCCCTGCATCTTAACCCCGAGTGAGTTCGTGGAAGTCACGCTAAACTCCTTCTGCAAGCCTGGGCGGGGCCGGGCCACACTGGCACATGTCCGCCCTGAGCCCACCCCACCCGGGCACCCAGGGTCTCGCAGGGACACCCTGGCAGGTGGGCAGCACACACACAAGAGCGTACATTCTCTCTCACACACTGCCACACTTTGTGCATACGCAGCCAGCCCAACCCAAGGAGGCCTCCCGCCCTGGAATGCACTAACGTTCTTTCCTTTCAGGCAGAAAGTATTTAAACAGATGCTTTTGCAGAAAAAGAAGAATGTAGCTGCTTTGTGGACCACTGCTCTGCTTAGCCCAAATTTCCACAAGAAAAAAGAGAGAGAGAGAGGGAACACTGCAAGCTCCAGTCCAGTTCACTGGGGAACGTCGGGTGCCTGGCACAGGACAGGGGCTCAGCAACTACCTGGCGCACAGTGTTGTTTCTGCTCCCAGCCCACATTCCCTGCCCCTGAGACCCTGCTGCTCTGAGGGACAGGGTTCATGACTGGGGCCTTGAGGCCAACTTCTCCTTCAGTGGCTGGTGTGAAGGAGATGGGTAAGGAGGGGAGAGCTGTTTCCTGGGTGAGGAGGGGAGAGCTGGAGTCTTAGGCCGAAGGAAGCTGCTTGGGGTTTCCTAGGCCGCGGCCTGTAGCCTTCTGCCTCCAGACTCAGGGAGATCAGGCCTCTGTGCGGCTGCCCCAGGAGGCCCCCCTCCCCTCACGGCCGCTCCTGTTCCTCAGAGCAGCCTCCCGGGGCTGCAAGAACCAGACGTTCATCAGAGGCTCCTGGAGCAGAATGAGGAACCGCCAAGGAGGCAGGCAGCGGGCCAGGCACGCTCCAGAAAGGCTGATCCCGAGTCTCCAGGGAGAGTAACCCCAGCTGTGTTCCTGGCCTCCCTCAGCCTCTCTCCCCACAACCCCGCCAGCCACAGTGAGGTTGTTCTTCTGGCTCTAAGGGTGCTGAAGTCTTTGGCTCTGTGGCCCCTCGGCTTCACTCAGCATGGGTGATGGATGCCTGCCAGGTGCTCCGGAGACTAGGGTCCAGGCCACGGATCTGACAGGAGCTATTTCTCTGTGGCAAGGATGCCCCTTGGGCCAGCCCACCATCCATCAGCCGCCAGCGAAGGGGCTTTTTCCAGTCAGCAGTTAGTGTCATTCCAGCTGCTCATAAATCTTCTGAAGCACTTCCCGCTGCCTCAGGAACTGCCTGCCGATGTGCCAAGCAGAGCCCCAAAGGTGGGCGTTTGGGGCAACAGCCATGGAGGGATGCTGAGAAGGGGCTCAATTTGGAAAGCAAGAGTCTCCGAAAAACAGCAGCACAGTGCAGGCCTATCAAGGGGATGGTGAAGACCCGTGGAGATTCACAGGCCTGTGGGTGCCATGGACAAAGGAGGAAAGATTATTCTACCCTACCTGCCAGACTGCAGAATCAATGAGATCGCAGAAAGGGTCAGAATATGCAGAATACTTTCCTTCCAGCTCACACTTAAAGGATGTATTTGCAAACACACACACACACACACACACACAAACACACACACACACACACACACTCACCCCTCCTTTCCACAAAGAGGATCTGGGTTTTCTGAGACTCCTTCCATTGGCTAATCCAGGCCGTTCAAAGGAGTGGTCTCCCAAAGAAAGAGACTAAAGAAACCTGTGCAAAGACAGGAACGACACTTATTCACTCAACGAGCGTTCCCTGGGTGCCTGTTACGTGCCAGGACTGTCCTGGGTGCTGTAGGTGACACAGGGAGGAGGCAGATGTCATCACCCACGGAGCTTCTCCTCCACCTGGAGGGAGAAATCGCAGGCACCACCAACTCAAGGAAGAAGGGCCAGTGGCCTCGCCCTGCAGGAGGACTCCGGCTGACAGAGAGTCCTCGCTGCCTGCAGGGCTGTGTTGACCAGGAATGTGAGGGCATATCTGGGTCTAGGTTTTCTTTGTCAATGAGGGTAATAATGATAATAATGCCACCTCACAAAGCGTATGAGGACTGCAAGGACGGATACATCTGAAGCCTGTAGGATGGTGCCTGGCACAGGATAGGACTCAGCGAAGAACAGAGTTAAATGCCATCTGCTGGGCCCTTCCGTCCTGCCCATGGCCACATGTCCCACCACATGTACCTTCTCACTGCCCTGCAGGCAGTGACCCGATCACAGAAAGACTCTGTGCGCCCTTTCTGCACCCAGCACGGCAGGTCCTGCGGAGACCGGGGGTCACACATTTACTGGACTCTTGGAGGGGCCAGGTGGGCCCTGAGGTAGCAGGGTGGTCCCTTCTCCCCCAGCGACCTCGCCGAGAAAGGAGGGAACTGCTCGGGCACTGCCTGCTGCCGCCTCCATCATGCCTTGGTCAGAGGAATTTAACTAGTATGACAGAGGTCCCTCCTCTTTGGTGGCTCCCTATGCTCTCTCTCCACGGCCTGGCCTTCTCAAGTTCCCCGTCTCTGCCGGCTGCAGAGATCCTGACAGATGGTCCCGCTGCGGGCTCCCTAAGCGGCCGGTGCTCTGTCTCACCTCTGAGCCTTTGCAGGAGCGCTTCCCTCCGCCTGCACACCCTGTCCCTCACTCCCTACTCTTTCTTTGGGCCTCAGCTTGGCTATCCCTTCCTCTGGGAAGCCATCCTCTCCTGCCCCCACTTCTCCCGCCATAAGCGTTTACCACTCTCCCAGCTACCACTGCCTGAGTCTTGTGAGCTCTCTGCCCGCAGACACCGGCCCGACTTGGCCACGGTGGACACCCAGAAGTGCAAAACGAGCCTTTCCGGGAAAATACAGGCTAGAGGGCCCCAGCCTGGAACTGGACTTCACTACGTTGGGGTAGGGCCTGAGTGTCTGCATTTTTAACAAGCTCCTCAATTCTGATGACCCCTGAGCAGGGTCTAGTACCATGCCTGGCACACCACCGAGTAGGTGCGCCGTGTTTGTTGAATGACTGCATGACTTCTGCCCATAAAAGGCCACTGACCGGCTTGGGTACGGGGTTGCTACGAGAAAGGGGATACTGGCGAGTTAGAAGTCAGACAGGGCTAACAACCCAAGTCCTCGAAGAGGTTCAATCAGCTCTGGGCCTCCCAGTGAATGATGCGGGTGGGGGGCCGCGCCCCTACCTCCGGGGGGATGCTGTCTTCCGAGTCGGAGCTGTCCTCGTACACGCTGCCGCCACCGCCCTCCAGGTTCATCTGCAGCAGCTGGTCGATGGTGGCGTCCACCGCGCCGCTGTTGGCGCGCAGCACGCACTCGATGATGTCGTAATCCATGTTGGGGAACATGGTCTTGAAGTCGTCCATGGCCTGGTTGAACTCGAGGCGGCGCACCTGGCGGGCGGGCCGGCTGTTGTTGAGCTCCTGCGAGGCGGCACCGGTCCCGGCCCCGGCCCCGCGCGCCCCCGCCGAGCCGCCCCCGCCGCCGCCCCCGCCGCCGCTGCTCCGGCGGAACAGGCTGGTCATTTTGCCGAGCCGCTGGGGGAGAATGTTTGCGGCCGGCGCCGAGCCCCTGCCCCCGGATCCCTGCGCCGTGGCCGCTCGCTCGGTGGGCTCGGGAAGCTCCCTCCCGCGGCTCCCGCTCCGCTGGGCGGCCAGGCGGGGGCGGGGCGCGCGGGGTCGCCGGGTCGGGAGGCTAGGGCGCGGGGCCACCGGCGGCCCTCGGGGAGCGGCCCTCGCGGGGCGGCGGCATCCGGGCCTGGGCCTCTGGTCATCCACACCCCCGGGGCATCCTGGGGCCGACGGTCCCACCTGAAACAGAGGGAGGCAGAGTCAGGGGCGGGATGCCAGGGGCATTAGAGAACCCGAATGCCCGGGAGAACCGCTTCTTTGTGCTTTCTCTCCAGCTGCAATAGTCAAACAGCCAGGGTTCTGTCCTAGCACAGGACTGCTACCTGTCAGCGAGGGCTTACTCCGGGCCGGGTCCCCAGTGTGCTGGGTGGGCTGACTCCTGACGCCACTATGAGGTAGGTGCTAGTATCCCCATTTCGCAGGTAGGAAAACTGAGGCATAGATGTGGAGGAATTAGGATTTGAACCCAGGACTATGGACACTGGTCTCAGTCACTACTCCTACTGCCCAGGAGCCCTGAGGACCTGAGGCAGGAGGGGCTCTGTACAGGCCCTAGTCTGCCCTCTGGTCTCCAGCCCACCCCAGTCTCTGCTTCCCACATCCCCCACGCAGTGCCTGCAACATGGCGAGCTGCCTGACTGGTGTTGTCGCCGCCCCAGAAGGCTGGAGAAGAGCCAGGAGCAGTCGGGACACCGGCCAAACTCTTCCCCAGAGTGGCTGGGGTGGGCGAGTCCTCCAGGCCCTAGAAGAAGTACTGATCCTCGAAGCCCCAGGGGAGGCTGGCTGGCCTGGGCAGCTGGAGACACCACAGGTCAAGCCACCTCCTCTTTCATTACCCCAGGTGCGAAGCCTGGAAAAACAACCTGTCCTGTGTGCACCATGATATGGCATGGCTGACAACTCTGGGCCAGCCCCACAGCCTGCTCTGCACGTCAGACGAAGGCGCTGACAACCCAAGACTTGTCAGAATGACTCAAAGACATATGGCCGGTAGTGGCCAAGCCTAGACTTTCCCATCACAGCTCCTCCTGTGGATGAGGAGCGAGTGGCTCAGAAACGCTAATGGGAAGTGCGAGGAAACAGAAATACCATCTCCACAGGACTCTGCAAGAACGCACAGACCCCAAAGCCAAGCTGCCTACAATTAGCACCAGGTGGGGCGACACAGGCCCCACCCCTCCAGCCCCGTGAGGACCATCCCTCCCTGAGCTCAAGTGCAGAGTGTGAGGCCAGGGTTGAGGTGGGTCAGCACTGCTGGGAGCAGGGAGAAGGGCTGTCCTCGGGGTCAGTGTCATCCATGCCAGGCGGCCTTTTGCAACCAGCATGGCTCAGATGAAAAGCAATTTAAAACACATGGAAGAGGGGCGCCTGGGTGGCTCAGTTGGTTGAGCGACTGCCTTCGGCTCAGGTCATGGTCCTGGAGTCCCGGGATCGAGTCCCGCATCGGGCTCCCTGCTCAGCGGGGAGTCTGCTTCTCCCTCGGACCCTCCCCCTTCTCATGCTCTCTCTCTCTATCTCATTCTCTCTCTCAAATAAATAAATAAAATCTTTAAAAAAATAAAAAAATAAAATAAAATAAAATTTAAAAAAAAACAAAAAAAACCACATGGAAGAATTAAGGCAGGCAACTTCGGTTTACGAGCTTGTGCCAGGCGCTTTCACATTTAATCCTTATTACAACTCCAGAGATAGACATTATTGTCTCCGTGTCACAGCTGTGGAAACCAGTTCAGAGAAGTCAGGTAACCTGCACAAAGTCACACAGCCAGTACGTAGAGAGGCCAGAATTAGGAACCCACCTCCTAGGAGCCAAAAGTGCCCAGTCAGGCTTGGAGGGCTAGGAGCCAAGGAGCCTCAGAAATGCAGCCATGTGTAGCCCAGGCTCAGAATACTGGGCACAGCCTGGCTGACATTCCAGCACAGGAGATGTGACCTAGACAGCACTGGGGGAGGGGTGTCTGTTGGCCAGGCCCCAGAGCCGGCTCTGTGACCTTGGGGAAACCGCTCCACCTCTCTGAACCCCAGCTGCCTGGTGCTGGCAGGACAACAGAGGGAGATAACCCCTGACCCACTTCTGAAAAAGGAAGTGAACGAAACCCGTTGAGCCTGTTCGATGTCTTGGTCTTGGCCAACTCCGCAGCAATCCCGAACTCTGGGCTGTGAGTAACCTGGGGACTTGGAAGCAGAAATCCCACACCTGTCCACCCCCAGGTCCCAGGGAGCCCGGCCTTCCGCTTCCCCATGAAGGAATCCGGGCCCGGGAGGAGGGGCACAGCAGCCTGCCAGTCCTCACTCCAAGTGTGAGGAGACGGCCAAGGCCTGAGTCACTCCTGGCCTGGCCCAGGGAGGTGGGCCAGCTGCCCGAATTCTGTTCTCCTGACCTTGCCCAAGGTCAGTCCAGCCAGTCTCCTGCAGGACCAGGTAGGGTCCACCCGGGAGATGTGAGAGCCCGGGAGCCGGAGTCCTGGGCTTCCCTTCTGACTGGGCCCAGTAAAGCCCAGTAAGGCTGTGTGACTTGGAGAAATCACTTCGCTTCTCTGAGCCTCAGCTTCCTCATTTGTAAGAACAGGTGTAATACCAACTGGAAGGGATGTTGTGATGGAACTTACATGGGGGCCTAGAGCACCCGAGGAAACAGGTTGGTGTGGCCTCAGGCACAGGCCTTGGCCCTTGGCTACACTCACAGCCTGAACGATCTTATCCAGTCTGCTTTAAATACCATCCACAGCCGAACACAGGCTCCCAAATTTCTCTTGCCCAGAGGCCTCCTGGGAACACGCCCTTCAACTCTACAGTTGCACCGCTGACCTGCTGCCCCCTCTTGGATGTCCAATAGCAGCTCTGACATAATGGGTCATCCGACCTCGTGGTTCCTTCCAAACCCACCCTGCTCCTCCCACCTTCCTCATCTCTGGGAACGGCAGCTCCACGTGACTCAGGCCCGAAGCCAGGGCGTCTCCTTGGGTGCTCGAATTCTCTTACACCCACACCCAGTGGCAGCAAATCCCATCCTTTCCTATCTTCAAAACCATCCCAGAACCCGGCCGCCCCTCACCACCTCCCCTGCTACCACCCTGCCTGTCGGCGTCCCCCGTTGCCCTCCTACAGAAAACTCACCGTGGTGGTCTTGTCATTCCTCTGCTCCAACCCCTACCTTCCCTCCTGCCACGCCGCACCCCCCCCCCGCCCCCATGGCTCCTCATGTCCTCAGAACACAACCTACAGCCTTACTGTGGTCTGCCAGGCCCCACACCGTCCTGCCTGGGCCACCTGCCTTTGCCGTCAAACCTCACTCTGTCCCCTCCCCTCGCTCTCTCTGGGCATCCTGGATCCTTGCTCATCCACTTGCAAGCCATGCGCGCTCCCATCCAGGGGCCTCCATCTCCTCCCAGATAAGGACATGCTGCCTCCCTCCCTTCCTTTGGGCCCCTACTCAAGCATAATCTTATCAAGCACCAGCCCTATCTGCCACATTCCCTCACCTCCGGCCCTGCTTTGTTCTCCTTAGGGAACAGACCACATGAGAGATTATTATATATTTCCTTGTCGTTGACCATCTCCGTCACTGGGAGGTAAGCTCCACGAGGGCCAGGCCTATGCTTTATTCACTGTGCTGAGTACAGCGCCTTCACAGGGCCTGGCACTGACAATGGAGATTTGTTAGGGGGATAAAGAAGGGAAAGGAAGAGGCAAGAGCACCATGAAATGTGGGTCGCCTTCCCTTCCCTTCCTCCTCTGGCTCATAGCAAGGCGGGCGGTAGTGGGAGGACTTCTTAGTTTCCAAAGCCCTTTCTCTTCTACGGTCTCACTTAGTCCTCATGAAAAAGCTATCATTTCTATAGGGAGCATGCGTTATTATCCCACTTCACAGATGAAACAACTGAGGCCAAGGCAGTCAGTGCTATGGTAAAGGTCCCGGGAGCCTCCTGCTGCCCCGCCTGAGGGCCTCCTCCCTTACGAGGCACACAAGGCTGATGGCAGGATGGTCCCCTCGCCAAGTCAGCGTCAGCTCCAGGGGACAGGAAGTCAACCCCCTCCAAGATCTGACTTAACACTCCTCCTGCCACCCCAACCCTCAAAGGTAGGGGTAGAACAGGAGGCCTCAAGAAGAGACGTGGAGTTAGGAGGCCAGAGGTCCCAAATTGCCGGCACTTTCCTTTCCCCAACCCTCTCTCGTCTAGAAGGAGGAGGGACCGCCCGAGGCCAGCTCTGTCTCGGCACACCTCTGACTCCCTCCTCTGAAAATCCCCCAGGGACAAGCCACACACCAGAGCTTGTGATCCGTCTGTAATTGCTGTGATCCCGCCCTGCAGAGGGGACTCACTGTCCCTTCTCGCCTCAGGTCTGGGCCCAGCCCAGTGGCACCGCCAAGCCAGGCCACTAGGTGGTGTCCCAAGGCTCAGGCCCCTGCTGGTCCCAGGGAAAGGGCTGGCAGAGCAGCTTCCCTCTGAGAACCCAAGAATCTGCCCCACCCCCACCTCGAACTAAAAAGGAGAGGAACCCCAGCAGCCCAAGGGTCTCAGAACCCAAGACTGGAAGGGTTTCAGAAGAACTTATTGTCCAAGTGGGAAACACAAGGCCCACACGTGCCACCAAGTTCTAGCCCCCGGCCTTGGCAGACTGGCGGATCTATGCAGGTATTACTACTGTCCTGCGGAGCCCACAGAGCCCTTTAGCGGGTGATTGGAACCGGGAAGCCAGATGCACCCTGCTCCCCAGCCCTTTCTCTCCCGTATGAGAAGGCCACGGCCGGGCTTGCTTCGCCTCATCAGGAATCCCGGCTGCAAAAGCCAGCGGGGCCAGAATGAGGCCATATGGCCCCTGGGACGCTTGTGTAGCCATGGCTAAGTCCTGGCCAGACCTCAGGTGGGTAGTGGCAGCGCTAACGGGGAGGC